GGCCAACCCGAAACGCGATCGCGATTTGGGTCGACCCTATTCCGAATTGGGTCAATTTCGATTTGGGTCAGAACATTAATATTGAATTGTTCGTGTCATGTTGCACATACAAGCAATTCAATAAATTTGCTCGAAGTAGGGAGCATGTTCGATGAATATTACTTTACCCCATAACATAATGGCAACTGTCTCACGTGAGTCTTTTTTTTTTTATAATTTAGAACTTTATTGCCTAACTACAGATAAACTGCTAAAACTAGTTTAACATACAGTGGGTGATCAAAAGTATTCGACACTCTTTGAAATTTACTAGTAAAACATATGAAAAAATTTTTTTTTCTAAAATCTCGAGTGTGCGTATTTACTATCACAATGATTTCGAAAAAAAAATAATGATAAACTTGATCCCGTTATTGCACTAGAGCAACCGTTCAATGAAGTGATAGCATGCACGTTACACATATGATTTTCATACGTTTTCATATGTGTAACATGATACCGGCCACTTCATTGAACGGTTGCTCTAGTGCAATAACGGGATCAAGTTTATCATTATTTTTTTCGAAAAATACAAATACGCACACTCGAGATTTTAGATTTTTCATATGATTTACTAGTAAATTTCAAAGAGTGTCGAATACTTTTGATCACCCCCACTGTATATGCCAAACATACAGAGGCACAATAAAGAGCTTGGGCTAAAAAGCCTGGAATGAAAGTTGGCTATGATTACTAATTATTATTATGATAATATGTTATTAATTGTTATATATATATATAAATTATAAAGTGTTTATATGTCTGTAGAATTAGATGTAATTGGTTGAAGGCCAAGGTAAGTGCGGAGTAATGAAAGGAGGATGGGATTAGAGGAGCCCAAAGGATGTTGATTGGGTTAGACAGGCAATATGTTTAATGTTTGAAGGAAGATATGAGTGTATGATGGAGGAAAGTGTCTCACGTGAGTCTTTTTTTTTTTATAATTTAGAACTTTATTGTCTCACGTGAGTCTTTCAGCATATAAATTACAAAGAACGAATGTGGTACAAGAAAAATATCATACTAATACTGACTGATATTTATATTTGTTCCTGTCAGCATATTTGAGATAGTAATTTTACTATTCCCCCTTTAGGCAAGAATAGCTGCCCTCTGACTCGAGATTGCGACAGTTAACAAATGAAAAAAAGAGTGGCATATTTGTCGAGAACCCATTTTTTTGTAAAACGAGCCGCAAAAATTAGCTTACTTTATTTTTTTGCTTTTTAGAGGAACACAACTAAAGCATTGTCTATCAGCACAAATTAGACGCTGGTTTGCTACATACAAAGACGAGTAAGAAAAATTAAAGACAAAGTCTAGCTCTGGATGTTCTCGCAAAAGTGACATCAGAAAATTGCCAAGGTCGAGGATCTTGTTAAAAAAATTTAATCAGTATTTCTCGTGAAAAAAAGCAAATTTCCCACGCCTCCAGAAGAAAGGGAAGACGAGAAAAGAGACAATCATTGAAAATGCCCGCAAAGCAACTCGAAAGACCAAGAATTAGCAGATGTTATCAAATCTACTAACACCATTATGCTTCAATCACGACAATGCTGCATCACATAAAGCAACCATCATGACGGGTAGTATCTCATAATGAACAAGTAGAACTTTTCCCCCAGTCCAAGACCATGATTTTTCTTATTCCCTCAAATAAAGGGGAAAAGATTTGATAAGGTCCAAAATTTAGGCAGAATCGTTTGCAATGTTGCAAAAATGTTAATATTAATGGAGAGTACATTGAGGGAATAAAATGGTTGTATCGAAATAAAGATTTATGCACCGTTCCGTATAACACACATCGTATTATTATAATAGGTTTACAAATATTGTATTGCTATTATCTCTCACATTCTCAAACGAAGAACATATAGGCATCTGTCTAGTGCTTTTAGGGGTTTTTTATTAACTTCCAGTGCCTTAATAATGTCTTGGTTTTTTTTAAAATTGATAACTTTTGAACTATAGTAAGAGTCTTCTTGACTTCTCATTTCTTGGTTAGGCATTTTCAAGAGTAGAATCTTGGCTAAAAACGATATAATTATTAACTACTTGTTCATCTCCAAATACACTCATATATCGAAATCAAGCCGTAATCGGGTTTCGGGTTGGCCCACAAAATAATCTCAGAGTCGATACAACGGTTGTTTGTTTGTACACAAGAGAGCATACACAGTGAAAGTCGCTAACGGACTTTTTCTTCGGAAAACTAACAGGTCTACTTAATACAAGTTACTATACTCAACAGAAGTCGAAACAATGTTACTGGTATAGTCTTTTTTATATACAGTATGGGAAGAAAAAACTTGCCTTCCGTAATTTTGTAATAACTCAGCAACTGCTACAAGGGATGAATACTTCAGGACACAAGGTAAGCAAGCAATGAGTACGCGTTTATTGGGAGGATGGCTGAAAAGTTATCAACGCTATTGCAAGAGAGGCAGTTAATGTGTTATTAGTTGGGCAGAGCAAAGGTTAGATTATGCGTAAACTCGTTTCAAAGAAGACAAAAGCAGTATGGGTTAATAAAGAAGCTGTGGAGAGAGAATGCTGCCGTTGCGTGCATTGCATATGTTTAGTCTCTTGTCAATATCCGCCTCTGAGGAACATCGGCAAACTGTTTGTGAACTGTCTAATACTCGCTATTTCATTATCTGTTATCCCATATATACTGATTAGCTTATGCTCTTTATGATTCCTTTTTGTCACCGCCATTATTCTACTTATTTCTTTTGTAGCTAATCTTCTGGTTAGTTTCTCTATCATATAATCTATCTTTCGATCGATAGTGATTATATTAATACTAATTTGTCAAGTTAAAATGTTAAGTTATAATTAATTCTCTTCTTGCAGACAACCGGACATCTACTCCTGATCCTTTGACAAGTGAGAATATTTCCCTCGTTTTATAACTGAATTATTAAGATTGCAAGACATTTCGGCTTGTTCACTTCTAACTATATGGATTAAAAAAAACAACTATGTATAGACGATCTCGGCATCTTACAGAAGCTCAACGTGATATTTATTATGCACCATATACAGTCCTTTCCAAGGTTCTGGGACTGGAAAGACAAGACTTCTTCATCAGCTTGCTCAAAACCACTTTCTTTTATACTTGTGCTTTCGTGATCAGGACTTCCACCAGCAGCAGATCTTTTTCGCAATTATTTTCTAATAACGAAGGGGAATGCAATTTTTAATGCCAGTAGCATTTTTCTATATTTGTATAGAATATATTGACATTGAAGATTGGAACCGTCAGCAGTGTTCTAAAAATTTGAATCTGATATTATAAACAAAGCTTCAGAATTAGTACAAACTGGGAAGAAAGCTCGAATGGAGTGAAGTTGAACCAAATTTATTGAAGACTGTCGAAACTTGTATTTGCATTTGGGGCAGACTGCAACAAAACCAGACAAAGTGAACATTCTGAAATAAGTGATCTGTTAATTTTAATTTTCCCTTTATCATACTAGAATGGATAATTATAAACCATAACAGGATTAATATAGGATTACCTCTATATATACTTTACCACCAACTTATGATGAACCAAGAAAGAAAGAAGACTGGCAGAATAAACAATCAAATCATTATTAATCATCTTCCTCATCCTCATCCTCTTCTTCGAGTTCAGCTGGAGAGTTTCATCATTGAGCCAAGAGTTTTCTTTTCCAGACAAGACTACTTACAGCTGCTCAAGCAGAAGGATTAAGAAACCTTCTTGTTTATTATCCTCAAAAGGCTTTTCATATCACTTCTTAGCATGATTTTGTCCACCTAACTTTTCGGCATAGTAAGTACTTAATGATTCCTTCTTCAGTAAATTCTTTTCCATTTCCATATTTAGATTTATCTAGCCTTTTGTCACCATCTTTGTATAAATGTGCCATCCTCCTTATGAGAAAAATATTATTATCATAAAAAAACTCCATATTAATATCTATTGTCATAATAATAAAACATTCACATATGGAAAACTGTCCCTAATTGCTTCATCAATCAGTTTCAGTAATATAATATAAAGACATATTGCTATTGAATTTGTTCAGGATATGGAATGAGAACTGCAAATTGATTAATAGTTTGTGGTGTTTTCCTGGTGAATGACTCAAAGTAAAGAGGCAGGAGTAGAAAGTACAGTTTGTTACCATGAGGACCCAGTTTCTTCAAATCAGATAATGCTCCACCCTTGATGTCATGAGTTTTCCTACAGTCATTTGGAAACCACTAAAGTTTGGCATCCAAGCATCAATGGCAGCATAATTTCCAGACTTGGGGATATACAATTGATCAGCCATTTGGCCCTTCTTCAACACAGTCAACAACTTGTCGAGGGTGTACTGATTTTGAAACATTAAGATCAAAGGAATCTTGCTTGAGCCTTTTGTTACCAGAGACAAGTTCTTGGCATTGGAAAGTACCACCTTGTTTCAATAAATCAATAGCATAGGGTTCAAAGATGTATCCACACAGGGCTGCAGCAAGGGGGTTTCCAGAACATGAACCAAGAAGATTCTGCATTTTAAGATGCTCATCAGTCCATTTTGTACAAGCAATGATTTTCATTGCAGTTTCTGATGCATATACCACTGATGCTTCCTCATGAGGTGGATTTGACTTGAGATGAATCAATGTTTGAATAATCTTTGTTTTGGGTGTGATTTCAGAATGAACTGAAACCAACTTGATACAGTCCTCCAGATCACATTGTTTACAAGCTGAAATCAGAACTGATGTTGGGTCTTGTTTAGTTTGCTCCAAGCACAAGACATGGAACACCACCTAAAAGTTCAAAGTGCTCCATCCAAATATCAGCTGCATCAGGGTGGAGGGGTACAACAACTTCCAATTCTTCTCTAGTCCATAAAGGCATATAAAAGACGGGAGGAGCAGGGACCAACTTGCTGAATGCACTAATAAAATCATTTTGAGGAGTACTTGACAAAATCACAGAACAAGCATCAACAGGAAACCCAGGAATGTCAGTTGGATCTTTTGAATCAACAAGGCACCATAATCAGGTGTCCAGAATTGGCGATTTGAAGGCAGTGAGAACAGGTCAAATACTGAATTTCCATCAAAGTATATAGCAGGTTTGGTGGTAACAAATAACACACGTTTCCCTTCCTTGACCAAATGCCAAAAGACATAAAAGAAACCACAGATTTTCCAATGCCAGGAGTTCCAGCAATGATGGCATACTTGTGACGATCTGGTTTAATCTTTGACAAAGCATTCTTGGCAATGACTCTGTAGCTGGAATGAATGTAAAGTTTCTGACATTTTGTCAACGGAATAGGGTAGGCAAATTCGAGCCTGTCATTGTTTTCAGCAATTGTTGGGAGATGCAAAAAAAATGGATCAGTGCAATTTTGAAGGACATAGTCCCCTAGTACTAGTAATTTGTGAAGTGGGAAAATGTAAGTTGAGAATGCAATACCATTTGCTCATTAAATTCATGAAGAATAAGGTATAAGTAGTCATTAAGAAAATGAAACTATATTATGACTGTATACCCTTTGTACAGCATCATGAACCAAAAAAGTCTCCACTTTAGATATACACTGTAACGTTTTCCCAAATACAACTACGCCTACTCTGCCTCATGTACACACTACCCTATGTCCCCAACGCCCTCTTTGTTACTTACCTCGGGTGACGACGACTTTCAGCGGCTCTCGGGCTGACGGACCAAAGGTCTCCTCCACTAGGCTATCCGGTTCCAGATCCACGTCCTCCCCATGTTTTCGGAGTGCAATATCATCAACAGACACATCGTTCAACTTGGGTTCCAGCTCCTTCTTGATTGCCTTCGTCAAATCATAAACGTCTCCTCCAGGAAAATGGACTTCAGCTGGCTTGTCACCATGTTTCACCCAGATGTTGAAAGACATGATATAATGAGAGAAATTTTTTTGCGCGATATGCTGCGCGATGTGATCTGATCAGTGGCTTAATCAATGGCGTATTAGTATATTTGGAACTTTTAATGCTTACATTCACAAGCGAATTCTTTTTTGGAGTATTTATTGGCTTCGTTCTCGGCCTGTTGCTCAATGACATAATTTATAATAACCAACCTCACAACATGGGACTATCAACCAAAGATCATAAAGTCCAGAAAGTTGTCAAAAAAGAAACCATCGGCGAACAAAATTTATTCGCCAGATATCGAAACGTTGTGGAACGCTTTGAGACAATTATACGATAAACGAATTGAATTAGATTCAAAATTTTCGTTTAACGAAATGGCGTTTGAAATTTCCAAATTGCTTAATAAACAAAAGACCATCAGTACATCAACAATAAGACATTTTTACCTTCGACGAACAAATCCGCGGAAAAAGACGATCGAAGCAATCCAACGTTGGATCGACGAAGAAAAGAAACCACTCAGATGAAGAAATAGATAATAGTGATAATATTATTAATAACAATAACAGTATAAAAGATAATGAAATTTAAAATTTGCACCGGAGTGACCAAAGAATAGGTTATACTCATAAATGGCTTTGGGTCCGAGTATTTTCCTCCCATGCAATCACTCTGGTGCTTTTACTATTATTTATATTTCGAGAGCGCGCATTCAATAATAAAATTTATGCTTACGAAAAAATTGAAATATTTTTACGTTTGACGTTTTTAATTGCAATTGTGTCAAAGCTCAACGGATGCGCTTAAGCTGTCTTTTATCATGACTATAAAGAACGATTTTTCGTTTATAGCTCGTTTGATCAGCGGAGGCGTTTGTAGGGAGCTTTTACGTTAACTTTATCTCCCTTACGTTTCTTCAAGTTTTCGTTTCTTTTTTGGTTCATCATGTGTTGGTGGTAATGTTCGTTTATGGTTTATTATTTTTCTTTCTTCTTGGTAAATTTCATATGTGATTTTTTCTTTATTTAGGTATTCCTGGAGAGTTTTGGTGTCATTCATTTTAAAAACATAAGGCGCAATTTTCTCTCCTTGAGCTTTTTTAGAATGCTTCTAATAGTGCTGTAATTCTTGGGTTCCATGGTGGATTTAATGTAAATTAGTTTCATATTAATATTTTTATATAGAGGTAATCCTATATTAATATTAATCCTGTTATAGTTTATATTCATCACATTCTCATATAATAAAGTGAAAATTAAATTTAACAAAGCAAAACGTCATCAGTCACCCTGATCAATCTTACATATTAATATACAGTCATCATTAGTATTAGCATCTCATTTAATCAAATGTTCACTTTGTCTGGTTTTGTTGCAGTATGCCCCATAATAATAATAGTAATAGTAATAGTAATAATAAGCTACAGTTGGTGAGTAATCAAAAATGAGGTAACTTTCAGCCACATAAGCCACTCATTTATTATTATATATTATGCCACATAACAGAATATTCACTTCGTCTAGTTTCATTGCAACATGCCCCATATAATATTACAAGTCAAAAAAGAATTTTGTAAAATTCCATTGACTGATAAGAGACTGCCAAAGAACAGTTGAATTTCCAGTGTGATTATGATATAGAATCAGATTTCAAAAGTGGTGATGCTGCAGGTGGATAAGGGGGAAGGAGCAGTTTGAGATAGAGGACAGTACAGTTTTGTTCAACTTAAAATAATTGGAAGGCAAACCAGTCATTCATTCTGGTTCCTCCAATGTATGTGTCATTGGCATGTGCACAGAATATGAACTTGTTGTCAATGCCATTCAATTTACGCATAGGTATGTTGAAGAAGGGGTCCCATGTGCAAGATGTAGAACACAAGTTATTCATGTACACGAATTTTTGTAAAGCGGTTTACAGATTATGTCCACACAAAATTCGCGAATCAGTTCGTTATTTTTACAACAACTGAGTGATGAGCAAACGCGAACTTGTTATTATATGAGATATGGGAAACTCGAATAATAACCTTAGTCACAGGCTAATTTCCTTGATAATGCATTCACGTTTTGGAAAGACAATAAACGTCTTAAAAGGTCGTGACTCGAATTAAGTTTCGATAGCCTAAGAATAAGTAACGCCGAGTAACTTGTAAAAGTCAAAACTGAGTCGACTGGATCATGGTAAATGTGTAATATATGCATATTTCTTCCTAGGAACTTTAACGTTAATAATATGTTAGTAATTCTAATTAAGCCGCCCTCATCGCTTGTTATGTTACGCCCAAACTTTACCGTGAAACGGGATATTAGTAGATCGAGTTTTTCTCCTTACCGATAACTATGAATTCAAATGTCGGCTTAACAGGTGTCCAATGAATCTCAAGCCGGTTTTTATATACAATTTTATTAATATATCTTTTCCGAAAATAATTAAGAATCACAATAATTTTACGTTCAGTGCGTTTTTGAAAATCTCATCCGCCTCCTTGATAACTGCTCCATAATGATGTCCGACATAAGATGCAGTTTTCAAACATACAGTATCTTATAGATGAAGACATGTATGTTTTAAACCTTTTTGATGCTTCCAATTTTGTTGTGCTACTTCTTATACATACATCTTATCAATATCCATGCTATATTCTGATAATTACAGACGCTATTAAACCAAAGTCCTCTCGGTTTTGTTTGTTTTGGAGTATAATCAGGTTGTGGCGATCAGGGCCCCAAAAATATTCTGTCCGAAATATTAATATCTATGAATGCTTCCGGGAAACTACGTCAGATGACTTAATCATGGCCTAACCATTTATTCACATGACCTACCTAATTCACACGCAAAATTAACTTACGCAATACTTCTTACCAACAACTCTTGACACGATGCCCGACATTACAGTTACTGTCAAATGTGCAAACGACACCAAATATTCCGTCACCATAGATACTTCCAAGACAGTTCTTGACTTCAAGAAAGCAGTTGCAGAGAAATGTGATACTCCCCCAGAGAGACAGAGATTAATTTACTCTGGGCGAGTACTGAAGGATAATGATATTCTGGAGACTTACAAGATCGCTGACGGACATACTGTTCACATGGTTCGAGGAGCGTCACCTGGTGGTATGTTACGCACCGTGAGGGCTTGAGAATTTAGTGATCTGGAGGGGCAATAGGGTGTCAATTTCACATACAAGGGTTATAAGAAGAGAGGAGGCTTTAAAATGTTCAATTCCCGGGTAGATAATGAATTGACTTAGCGGAAATAAATCATATAGATCCGAAAATTCTCCTGCCATAGTATTGTATGACCACTTCTACGCTTCAAGTTCTATCTCTGAAAGTCATCGCTAATAAATTTTCTTTTTCTTTTTCTTACTAACAGGTTCATCTTCGTCCCAACAAGCAAGCAATAATACCTCTCAACAGCGATCCGCCCCGCCACCACAAAATGCTCAACCTCCGTTCAACCCATTTGCAAATCTAGGCGCTGCCTACGGGGCGCCCCCATTTACGAACACGACTGCTCCTAGTGCCACCGGCACTCCGTTGCCATTCGGAGACTTGTTTAATAATCCGGCATTCTTACAGCAACTCACCCAAATGATGTCCGATCCAGTTGTTTTAGACACCGTGATAGCATCGAACCCGCAACTAGCAGATATGGGTTCACAAGTGAGGGCAGCAATGCAGAATCCAGCACTACAATCGATGATGGCGAATCCAGACTTTATCAGGCGTATGACGGAGATGTACGCGGCGTTAATGACACCCCCGACAGACTTTGCCAATGTTATGGGTGGATTAGGGACCCAAGGGGTGAACCCTGGATTTAACGCGGGCGCAAATACCGGGACGACAAATACGCCGAGTGACTCCACTAATGCTGCGCCTACGAATATAACGAGTACCACAAATACGACAGCACCCAATCCCTTCCTCAATCTTTTCAATCCAGCAGCAGTTAATCCAACCGGTAACAATCCGGCCAACACTACGAATACTTCAAACACACGTCCTCCTGTAAATCCTTTTCTGGAACAACTTCTCTGGGGTAATATCAATCAACAACCACAACAACCACAACAACCTCCGGAGGAGAGGTACCAAGTGCAGCTACAACAATTGAATGAAATGGGGTTCTATGATGCGCAGAGGAACATCAGGGCTTTATTGGCTTGTGGGGGAAACGTTAATGCTGCTATTGAGTTCTTGTTGAGTGACAGACAGTAATTTAGTGGAAGTGGTAGGAAATACATTGTTTTGAAGTGGGATTTGAGTGCGATAATATGAATAGGCACGTAATTTGATAAGAATGGTGTGCTGATAAGGAAATTGCTGATAATGTAGACTTCGGGATTTCAGTGGAAAGGAATTTATATAACATTCTTTGCTCATCTGTAAATCATCGATGTCATAAAATGAGTGTTTTTTTACTAGTTTGGTAATAGGTAATTGTTAGTCGTGTTCTTATTTTAGCTTGTATTCTTAGGAAGAAAGATTGAAAGTCTTACTACCAATGTCTCTTTTGTAGTCTATTGGTATCTATATAGTCTATAGATATCTTTGTTGAAGTCAGTTCATACCTTTTGAACATATTTATCTAGAAACGATGAAAAGAATGTTATAAAAACGCTGCAAGCATGTGTGTATGCGAAAAGACCCAGTGGTATTACCTTCCTAATTGTGAAGTTATTTATATTCAATTAACCAATAGATAACTATCCTACCTGACATCTACAAACGAGACGTGTATTGAGTTTAGTTGGTTTACTTTATAATCTCCAAGTTTTCTTGGTCTAATTCAGCTCCAATTTCTAGAATGTATACAAGCATCAATAATCCAATTAAGACACTAAAGGTAGGCCTGACTATGACCTCTTGTTCGACAGATTTTCCTATATTCGACCAGCGTTATGATGCTTAGTAAAACAAAACTACACTATCAATGCAAACGCATAGATACGACTATTAATAGTAGTGAGGCTTTACACTGCTCTACACTACAGCCAGCAATATCTTTGAAATCCCATTCTCGCCTAAAGCACATTCAATGCATGAATTTCATTAGCAAATTACTTTGGAAGGTGTGAAAAGTCCATAACTTAAAAATCCAAGTATTAAACTGATATGGCGATAGCCTTTCAATAAAAATGGTAGGCTTCTTTAGATGTTTGATTATTTACTCATATGATGGAGACGCGAAAGTAGACTCTGCCGAGACTTGACGTCGGTACAAATACCATAAGCAAGGAGCTTATAAGCGCCAAAATACGCTAACTGCCTTTCCCTCCAGTCAAAATATGACCTAATTATGTAACCGGGAAAATACCAAAACTCTTGTTACGTAATTCTAGAGCATCCGAAAATATCATGAATAAAAGTCGACTCTTCCTGAAATGCAATGCAAGTGGGTGCGGTACATATGTTCACGTGGTATTAAGATTGTTGACTAAAACGGGCTTGGAATATTGGCAAGCTGTCAATCAAATTTACTTTGCAATAATACTTGGGCTTTGTCCGATTGAATTAAATATGGTTTACCTGAATCAAATTGGTTAATATTGATAAAATTTAAATGCTTGGTTTAAATAGTCTGATAATTATGTCGTAAGTTTTCGGCAATAGTGACGAATTTTGCCGACTGATTTTTTATCTGCCTTCACATGACTGACATTACGGCTGTATTACTGATGCATGATGATACTACTAAATTTGTACTTGAAATCGGCATGTGTGTATGTTAGAGAGTTATTCTTGTCGACTAATACCGAGTTCAGAACCACAGAATAGCGTGCGTTTAGGGAGATTCGATTGCATAATTTACTATTACGATACATGATCAATACAATAGAAGCTAAAAGTAGCCTCAGAAATTGTGTTAATCTTCTATAGAATCTTAACGATAAAATAAATAGCAGATAATTAGTCAGCGACTTATGTAAACACATCTGTGTTCGAAAGTTACGTATTCAGATGTTATGAAACTTCAAACTGATCGAGAAAAGCGATTTGAATTTGGAAATTTATAATAGCATACCGAAGTGAAAAGTGGCTGCCATGATATGGTTAACGAAACTCAACACCAACTAAGGATCTAATACTAATACTAGGCTGTCTTTTTTATCCGAATAACCGGAAAGTGTAGCTCTTAAAAAAACAATTGGAGAATACATAGAATAACGCTTCCGACATTAAAACCATCACTTCTTCATCCGGGTCGCCTATTCAATAGTGGCTTTAGTCCTAGAACTATTGGGCAGAGAAGGACTCTTAGCAATAGAATAAAATATTTAATATAACAAGAACGTCTTAGTTAATTCATATAATGGTCGGGCAATATATAACAATACGTCTCTCACGTCACGTGAATATGCAAAGAAGTGCTATATTGATATTATTTTTCTTGGTTCTAATTGTCAGTTCGACGAACCTTGCAAAGCGCTAAATGATTTTTCTTGTAAAATTAAGCCGACGCGCAAACGCAAATTTTCTTTTGATTACTCTAACTTTCTGACCCTTCGCTCATTGTTGAATCTTTGTCTAATTATCGGTATGGTGGTGGCGTATCAAACAAAATCCGCATCTGGATCAACAATTCAAAATGGATGAACATTATTTGCTCTTTGATGTCATCATCGACGGTTTTTGCTCTGAGTACGGACATTGACAATGTGGGGCATAATCAACTCGGGTGGCAGGAAACTGACTACAGTCAAAGCTGGCTATAACGAACTTTGGTTATAACGAAGATCTGTTTATAACGAAGATTTTCTCCAAGCCAATCATTTTCGAGTATTCTGGCTGGCTATAGCGAATTTCATTAAGAAATCTGGTTATAATGCTTATAACGAAGATTTTTCAGAACGACATAATGTGCCACTAATTGGCTATAGTGAAGATCTTCATTATAAAAAAAGTAATATTCGTTATATACAGATTATTCACCATAAACAGATTAAAGTTCGCTATAAAAATTGTACCACCATAAATAAATTCGTAATAGACAGACAGATAGATATTCGTTATAAAAAATGGTGTAACCAAAAACTACAATGGCACATTGTCTTTCAAGAACGTAACGGAAAGTCTTTTTGACCCTTCGATTTTTAAGACAATTTAAATACAAAGAAACGAAAATTAAAACGTAATGCGTTGACAGGCGAACAAAAAAAGAAGTTATGTCTAAAAAAACAGATGAATCCAAAAATTACTGGTATTAAATTAGCTCATGAATTTAACATAGGGGAAGGAACTGTGAGCGGTATCTTACGTGAAAAAGATAAGTGGTTAAGTATTGATTCAGACATGCCTAAATTAAGTTTGAAAAAACAACGGCCTCCCGCATGGCCTCTACTTGAAGAATCTTTATCAATATGGATGGATCAAGCTATTCGCTACAATCGTACTCTTTCTGGGCATATTGTGAAAGACAAAGCCAAACGATTTGCAGGATTATTGCAAATAAATAATTTTACTGCATCTGATGGGTGGTTTGAAGGATATAAAAAAAGGTATAATATTAAAGAATACTTACGTGGGTAGTTCAAAAAGTTTTGACACAGTGTACATATTTCAGCAATCACTGATCATCTCAGCTTTATAAATATT